TCTTTAATATTTTTCGCAGACAGAGAAAGTCCATTTGGAATCCAACCATCTTTAGAGCCAGCATGCAAAATAGTTATTCTTTTACCTCTTCTTGATGGCACGTTTGTTTCACACTTATCAGTTGAGTCAACCCAAACCTTTTCCGGGATATCATAAGTGTCGAACCAGGTTTCATCCAAGTAAATAATTGGCCTTTGTTGTTCTCTGTAAATAACAATTTTTTCTAGATATTCCAGTCGCCATTTCCGAATTATAAAAGATTACACTTCCATAAGGTAGTTCTGCCACATTTAACACCGGTTTCATCTTTTTCAAGCCTCCTAATTAGGATATCTAATGTAGGCACGCTTTGTTCTTCGTATAACTGGTAAATTTTACGCCGTATTATATCGTGATCACTTCCATCTACACTAGAGAAAATGTCAGCATCGCTTCTTTTTTTCCTCGCTGAAATGGGATTATTCACAATTTTCCATACAGTTGATGTTGGAATTTTCGTCAATATGGCCGTTTCTTCTAAATATGCTTGCTTGCTGGCACCACGTTCAATGAGAGTCAAATAAACATTGTTTATAACTTCCTCAGTCTCAATAGAATAGTGTTTTCTACATTTGGACGGGAGCATCTCCTGAGATACACTAGACACGCACATATTTTGAAATAATTCGCACACGGTTCAACACACGCTGTATTACACACGAAATAAGAATGATTACTAATGAACTTACACTAAGTAGTATACCAAACCAAAAAATATTGAACACAGGTAGGTATAAAATTATTTTCTATTACGGACCATAATTTTACACGAATTTAAATTCCGAAACTTTAGGGAATAATCTTGTTGCATTGTATGTTAATGACCACCCTTGGATAATCCCATTCAAAAGCAACTGGTCACTTTCTTATATCTATGAACAGACTATAACCGGGTAACTCGCGGCTGTTTGAAAGGAAGGAAGAGCCTTGTCAATATTAACGTTTAATCTCCACATCTCCACAGTCGCATCGAAACTCTTAAGTGCAACATAGATCTATTGTGTATTTTTCCGATTATTGCTGGTAACTTGGCCATTGGCGACGCTCTAATTAGAACGGCTTGGGGGGACGGGAAAAAAATGGCGTCGACGGAAGACGCTCCTCCGAGTTTCGCATGCGTGAACCCAACTCGTCGATACTACGTGCGATACGCACGCATTGCGTGACAGAACCGGCTGTTGTCGGCGCCTTCAACGGAATTAGACAGAGGGATGTTCACCGCCGCCGGCGGACAATCGAAAAACGGATAATAAAATGGCGGACGAACGCGGCGGGGCCGCCATCCTTATATGCCGCGGCCCGATCATTTGTTTTTGTCGTACCTCTATACATAAAAGGGCGGGATGCTTTTTTTATTATTAGGCAAATCCGCAACCAGGTGTGATGGCGACGTGAATGTGCGGTGCGGTATTATTTGGGGGTTTCCGATGAAAAGGATGGGGGTTTTATCTGATCAATAGAGCGCGGTCCCGCAAAAATAATCACAACGGGGCTTGGAAACGATCCATGGGGTGTCATAAATAATTAAAAAGGTGGGGTCCGTGGATGTAGAGATGCGTAACGGTCCGTTAACCGTTCGGGTTAGGTCGTACGCATTGCGGTAAAGTCGTGACCTAGTAGACAAGTTTCGGAACAAATTGTCTATTGATAGGGCTAATTCTCGAAAACTTCAAAAATTTGCTGTAAATACATTAAGAAATAACGATTTATATCTTTATTTTTGAGGTTTTGTGGTTAGGTTGGGAATAACCATCTACTCAGTCAGTCAGTCAAATTTTAGGAGGCAGTTAAACTCTAGTAGACACACAGCGACTACTACTCGAGTAATTCGGCATATTTTGATATTGTTACAACGTCAAAATACCAATTGGCAATAGTATATTCATTTAGATGGGCATTGAATAACTTGTTTATCATATTCTCATCTTGATCTGTTTTTATGTTGCATTAAGCACGATGGATAATATTCCCATAACTAATTTTACATAACCACTCTATTTTCAGACAGAGCTATTTTTAAATATCTTTATTATCCGTTTAACTGTAAACATTTAATGGCGGTCTGCTTTAAATGAATAAATACTAGTCCAGTCCTTACCAGTATTAGAAAAAAAATCTTACATCAATTGGCTCCCCTTATTGTTTGTTCAACTTTCATATTGTGTCCCATGGATCACAGAAAAGATACTGAAGGGTAAAAAACGCGATAGATGTGACTGTTACGCATAGTTTTGGAAAGAATGGTCTGCCAAATTAAAAGATAAGATTTTCTTTTAAAAGTGATAAAGGTAAAATCCCGTCGACGAGCGAAGCCTAACCAACGGCTATTCATTCACAAATATACACCCAAATATTTAAACAAATAAAAAATTAAGTAAATTGCAATAAATAACGTACGACTTATACTACAAACAAGGTTTTATATTCCTGGAGATTAGTTTGCTTTTTAATCTTAAAATTTTGAACGGTTATAGGATAGAAAATTTTTATACATAGTCGTTCTATGTTCAGGAACAGATAATTGTTTTTATTTTTCATGTCTCTCTGCTTGTCTTTTTCAAAAAAATATTAATTGTTAGCTTGTTAGAATTTTGATTTGGAGCATGCATGTTTCTCCCGAAGAGAAACTTCTTATATTGATTAATTGATTAAATACACTAATGAATAAAATATCCTAATATTTAAACAAATAACAAATTGTACTGAAGTGGCTTTTACTTGATGAAAATCCATTTAAAATAGTTAAATAAGAACAAACGTTGTACAGATTTTCACGTAAATATATTTAAATGACAGCTGTTTCGGCAACACCGTGCCTTTATCAAATGTGCTTTGATAAAGTTTTATAAATATAAGTTTTCTATCCTGTATAGTGAAAAATGAGTATTGGATATTTTTCAGCGTGTAAATGTGAAGTTTCAATAGGTAATTGCTCAAAATAAAAAGCGATTTGGGCGTTATCTGGCGGCCGCGTAAAATTCCAGAGATGTCTCTAATCTCTACCGATTTTTATAATCCCCTACATTCCGGAGCTTACGCCCTCGCCTCTGCCTTTCACGTTACCTTGGTTACGGCTGCGCCCCTAAAATACATTTTTGCCGCATCTATATTTGCCGGGCCGCCGCGCCGCGCGCCGCCGCCACCCCCCTTTGTCTCGTAAATATTTTACGTATTTTTATTCATAAATTCATGCATTCGTTATAATACGAAACTTCGCGCCTTTTGAAATGAAAAAATTACCATAACAATTTAATATTTTATGTTTAATGTAAAATCCGCTTTGCGATGCGCGAAATTTTATTGCCCGCTTATCGCGTAAAATTTAATATTTTTAATATTTGTTTATTTTTAATTTCGATTGTTTTGGCTTTCTCGCCACCGCTAGTTTTAGTCTATTTTAGATTCAAATATTTGTTTTTTTTTTTCACAGTATTATCTTGCAAGGAGCTTCTAAACTTATTAAATACAAGAGTGCAAATATTGTCTTTCAATAAAAATTAGGCGGCCAAAATTAGTACCAATCACAAAAAAGTACGCTGCAGGTTTATTTTAACAGCTGTAAAGTTTTTCCAATAAATTATTACCTCTGTGTGACTTTTTTTAAAAAGAAGTCCCGATTTCTCAGTAAAACTTAAAAATGCAATTTATTTAAATGCTCTATAAAATTTCATAGTAGTATATGTTATTATTATGTATATGACTTATCAAGTAAAACACAATCATTCAAAAAACATCCAGTCTATAAATTGTTTTAGAATATACGGACTTTTATCTCTCAATTACAAGATCAGATTATTAAAAATACGCCCACTAATGTAATTTAGAACTTTCTCGTCTCATACAATTATCATGAACATAGCTAACTAACTTCAATTATGATCATTAAAAATAAAAGTAGTAGTGACTGTAGGAATTGTATGCTGACAACAACCTGTATTAGACACAAAACTTGAAAATGTGTGCACAATAATCCTTAAAATACGCTGTTGAACAAGAAATAGGTAATCCCCACAAACTGTAATTCTATATCCGCCATCGAGCCTAATATTTCCAAGATTAACAAAAATATATTTTTTCTACTCCCGCCTGTAAAATGCCCGATTACACATCGATCTGGCGTGCGGGAAGCGTCACTTTACCACTTCAGTTTCGTTTCCCACGGATCCGAGCCACTTCGGACATTTCCGGGATTTTACCGCACGGGTTTAGGTGCAATCGGATGTTTTCGGGGATATTTCCCACGCTTTGAATTTTGACGTTTAATAATTCTGACAATTATATCAGTGAATGTATTCGTGTTTTACGAAAATGTACGCAAAAACTAACGGTTGTAGAAAAAGTATAGTATGCAACACGTTCGGTAAACTTTTTAACTCACTCGTTTATTAAACACTCGCTCCGCTCGTGTCAAATAAACTCGTGAGTCAAATGCCGTTTACCGCACTTGTTGCATAATATACTATTTCTACTCCCTTCTGTAAAATGCACCGATCTAGCGTGCGGAAAGCGTCACTTTACCACGTGACTTTCGTGGGACAAGAAATCTGAGCTCCTTCGCATAGTTCCGGGATATTACCGTACGGGTTTGGAACCAATCGGATGTTTTCGGAAATTTAACCGCATGGCTTGAATTTTGACGTTTGTCAGTTCTAATGGTCATGTCAGTGAATGTATTCGTGCTGTTTTGCAAAGTTGTACCAAAAAACTAACGCTAGTAGAAAAAGTATAGTATGCAACATATTTATAAACTCGTGACTTAAACGCCGTTTATCACACTTGTTGCATAATACACAGTTCCATAAGTTCAACGTCGGTCACATTACACACAAACATCACAAAAAATGTATCAGGTAAACTTTGCAATAACCAATTTGGTTAGAACTAACTAGAATATTAAATGAGACGCTGAATAACTGTTTTCAAAATGTGGAATACTTCTAATACTATATAGACAAACTTACGCTGGGTATGTTGTCGTTATTGCAAACGCCCTCTGACAGCAGCCTGTCCCTGATTTCCCACGCGAATATTGACGGACATTCCCTTTTAAATTCGGCGATTTTCTGGACCACCGGTTGCGTGGCGACTCTAGGTTTGGAACCGCCAATAGCTCTTGGTTTGATAGAGCCGGTCTCGTAATACCTGTCCCCAAAACTTTAATCAGCCAAACATAAAGGTTAGAAATGGTCCGGACTTATTACCTGCCGAGGATCTTGGACACGCAGCCGTTGGAAACTTGCAGAATGCGCGAGATATCGCACGGCCTGGCTCCCGAATGTGCTAGCTCGACTATTTTCTGACGTGTCGAATCGGGCAACGGTCTTCCGTTGACGTAGACTCCTCCGAGTTGGTTAATGCCGCTGTGCCCGGCCGTCGAACATCCGAAGATGGTGTTCTGACCCATCGAGTGGTGCATGAGATCCTCCTCTGAAAACACTTAATTTTTTTTTACGTCTACATGACTACTTTGTGAAACAACAGAAAAAAACAAATGATATAGATATATTTCCCCTATTTGTCGATGTTCAAAACTAGATAATACTAATATTATTTCTCGAGCTTCCCCAGCAGTACCAACATTCAGATTTAGCATGACTGGCATTGTTACACTGAAAATAATGTGTTTATAGTATCAATGAGCCGTCACTATTAATTAATTTTATTGGCTCAATGATTATTTTAATTGTCCCAATAAACTATTATTTATGGACTACTGAACTGTGGTTTCATTGATACGAAAGTGTTTTCATTAGCATAATAAGTCTTCTTCATTGGCTTCATGATTATTTTTATGGCTCATTTTGAAGTAGGTTCCGACTATCTTTGACCATAAGTATAGATACCACCACCTTCCCTGACTGTATTTGAGTTGTCAAGAAATATGTTTTTGTGGAAACAGCTAAAAGTTCTAGTCTATAGTTCTGCTATATCAGGTAAAACATAAAACACTTGTAAGTAGCCAAAGATACAAATGTGGCTATTCAAATAATAATAAAAAATATTTTTAATTTACTTAGAATATAATTAATTCAATAGATCGATGAGGAAAGATATTGAAAATATTTAGCAACTTAAATAACTATATTCATTAACAAATGAAAATTAATTAAATGAATAAAACATTTGGTTCGAATCATGGTTATTGCTAGGTGAGGGATTTGCCCGTTGTACTAGATACATTCATCATCAAAGAGAAACATCATACAGAGAGTGGCACAAAACTAGAGAGAAACAACTTTATTTAATAGAAAAGAAGATTCGCGTTTATTTATTTAATTAAAAATATCGGTTAGTGAGACTATGTGGGTCTCTATAGATTAGTCGCGAGAGCGAGATGGGTCCTTTTTCCCCGCCAGCATTTCCATCAAAGCGGCGATTAAACATGGTAAATTATGCAAGAAATTTGCAGCGGAATTAGTTTGAGCCATTTCCATTCCTCCATTAATTTCTATCTGGTCGCGGAAGCTGTCACCATCCGAACGCAGCGTCCTCGCGATCCCTTTCACGTCTCAGTACGTCCTCAATTCTCCATGTAATGTTAAGGTTAATGCAATTTGAACGCGGAGTGCGCCAACCTCGGGTTAACCAAGTCAACAAAGAGACGCCATTTTCACGAGTTTGGTTTAGAGCGAAACGAGACCGAGAATAGAGAGATAAAGCAGATCAAGTAAAGAACAGAGAAGCGAGCTGTCTGTCTCAGACGCGCTACGGGTTTATTCCTTTGGGAATGACGTTAAAGTGTCTGCCGACGTCATAGGAATGTATGAGCTTTTCGGAATCGCAGGATATTTTCCGCCACGTGAATCGCCACATTGACCGAGTGCCTTGACATATGCTTCTTTTATCTGTTTGGGATCGATAACTTCGTTTGCTCACTTGGTGCGGCACCTCATTCAGGAAAATGACTTTTATTTAGTTGTTGTTTGTTTTGAGGCAATATCTTAGAATTACATTTTCAGTTTATCGGTCTTGTCTCAAAGAAACTCTCTACAGCCAGTCAGTCAGTTCATTCCCGTTCTATACTATAAAATAATCTTTGTTTTTATGGCTACATTATTGCTTAGTTTTGATTTGATAATATCTTATAATATATATCCATATAATAATTCAATTTTGTTGTAATTTTTGTTGAATATGCAAACTTAGTTTCCCATATTATTTTCCTATCATTTAATAAAAAAACCTAACCTGCGTCATTAATTAACATATGAAACAAAAACTTTTATGCCGAATTAAAACAGAATGCTATATCTATATATTTGAAAAGGATATTCTTTCGCATTAATTGAGAAATCGGATTTTAAGTAAAGTAAAAGTAAATCCAGATCTAACAGCACTCAAGTCAAGAAATTATTTTTTAACGATACTTTGAAATCACGTTATTTTTGAGCAACAGAAAAACCGTGTTTGTTTTAACGAGTTCCATATAAACTAGAAGAAAACACCCTGTACCAGCTAACGGAGGAAACGTACCGCTCAGAAAAATAATCACCCTCCCGCGTTTAAATTTCGATTCAAATCAATCGGAGCGCGCAAAAAATATATTGGAGAACAAAAAACCGCCGGGCACACAATCATACAGAAACGTTCTCTCTCTCCAGCGATTGCTCCTACGCCAGAACACAATTAAACAATCCCCTCGAACATCCAGTAATTTCGAGACTTTTTTTTTTTCAAAAACGGCGACGTTATTAACTGGATCATTACAAGGGAGGGCTGCGCGAACGTATTATAAGAAAAAGGCTCCAGTTAATTGCTGCTTGATTAAAGACCGCAAACCCGCGTGCGGTAAATAGTGTGCGGGGAGGTGGGTGTGCTTTTGATCCGCGATTATTGTTGTGTCATTGAAAGGGTAGAGGGAGTATAGCGTTCGACGCCACTCGAAGGCACGGGCGTCGGCACTCGTCAAAGCGACGGGGTGTCCTCCACCCGCAGCGTGAGAGTCGACTTGGTGTTTTTGACTCTCTAAACTTTGCCCATCTTCACGCAGAGAAACGAAATGCTCAATCGCGGTTATTAAAATTTAATTTATTTATTAAGGTCAAAGACGTTTCGAATAAAAGTCTTCCTCAACACATCGAAATAGAATGAAAAAATATTAGATTAACGCAAGATTGGAATTTTCTCCCATTTCCGCAGTAGATTGTTGGCGAAGCTGAAAAAAAGCATTCTAAGCAATGAAGCACAGCTTGAGTATTATGCGCGGGTAGCTACATGACTTTAGAATTTGTTCCGCGCCACAGATAAACTGCTCTAAGTTCAGTAGACCAGTTCGTATTCTCTGCCATTAGTTCTTTTGTACCTCGATCTCTGCAGTAAATGTAGTAAATCCCAGTCTTGAATAAATTTAAGTGTCCATGTGATTTGCCCAATTTTATTTCAAAAAAGCTTTCTAATGGTCTTATTAAGTTATCGCTTAAATTGAAAATGTTCGTAGAGCTCTTCAATTTTATAATTCATCAATTGCGCCCCCTTACGGTGTGCTCGAAGCTCAAAAATAAATTTCAGCATTTTTTCATTATGCCTATTTTAGACTTAACATTTTCTTTCCTGCAGCTCTGTAAAAAGTTTTTGTGTTTTTAACCCATGGTCTTAAGAAAATGTCCTCAAATTTTTTTTTGCTAATTATAAAAGCTAGCAAATTAAGGCCATTAAACAAGCCCCAAGCCTCTTGGGATATACCACAATAAAATAAAAAAAATAATGCTGAGGTTAATTTTTGGGGTTATGTTAATGAAAATTACATTTTTAAGTGGCTAGTAACTAACATTTTCTTTTAAAAGGTTGATTTTTGTTGTGGTTTAATAAGGAGATATGCTTTAATTTTGTTTTTTGCAAAAAAAGTAAACAAAAAAGTTTGATGACATTTTCTTAAGATCGTGAACAACTAAAACCCTTTGGCGCTCAGTGTACTACATTTACAATTAATAGTAAAACTAGAGACAAAAGGAAATTGTTTAAAAATAGCTTCATTGTTAACTTCTCCAGTAGAACCGGTTAGTGCTTGATCGTCATTTGCGTAAAACCAGAAGAATTTTTCATTTTTTGCCAATAATAAGCAGGATTCAGTTTCAAATGTTTTGAACTACAATAAAAGCCCTGCCCAGCATTTCCATCAGGGTGGGAACACAAATGCGTTAACCAAACGTACAGAGTTCTGTAATCCGTTGTATTTACCGCCGTAAACATTTAAGGTTAAAATCGTTATGGTCGCCGACCGGAAGCGAGGTACGCGCTGCCAGACATATTCGCATAAACCGACCCCGTGGTTATTATTAAGTAAATTGAGTTAATAGCACGCCAAATAGGGGCGTATGCAACGCCAACTTAACGACTTTATCCTAGAACGCTGCGCTGCCTATATATATGAGCGGACTCCCATTTGTTTGGCCCTAATGCATTACGGGATTAAAACATATTAAGGGGCCGAGAACGTTGAGCTCGCTGAATCCGCAACCAGCTTGGCCACCCGCTGGAGAGTATTTCTTCAATTTTTAAAATTGGCATTGCCGAATTCCCCGGATTTTCTGAGCATTCGATGACCTTTAAGCTAAAAAAATTGAAATCTCTTCGACAAAACAGAATTTCCTATTTAAAAATAACAGGAATAACTAAACTGGAAAAAACAAGTTGAACAGGTTCCAAAGGTTCCACATCCACATCACCACGAAGGGACATTCATTTATACTCCGAGATCATGATTCTAAAGCACAGATAAATGGTTTTGGTAGGGCAATTAAAAGAGTGCTACCTACAGTAGTAAATTTACATTACATTACATTATACAACCGTTGTTAAAATAATTATTTGACAAGATAGGTAGAAATGCATCCCTATATCGCGGGTTTCCAATTTTTAAAAATGTATTAACTTCTCATAGGAAGTGAACGGTATTAGTGGAAGACATTTCTACTGTTAGACACATCGTTTTATTATTGAAAAAGGCTCAGAAGACGCGACGCCAGGCAAATTGTAAAAACTATGGATAATTATTTACTAACTAGGGACTTAACGCTAGTGTTGTTGCAAAAAGAATATTGTGAATGTGTGAAAAATTGGATCCCAGCAAAAAGTTTGATGATGGCGACAAGGACTTAGTTAAGAGGAAATTTTATGAGCTTTAAAAATGCTAAAAACTGCATCGACTACCTTAAAGATACCACAGCAGAACCATTTGGACAACGATTCAAGTATTGATACTATTGTTCTTCTAAGATTCTTCAGGATAGTGTCAAAGTGATGGACAATGCTGGCTAGCACAGTACTCAACTACATAAGGTTGAAAGGAACTTTTGAAAGTTCTTAAAGTATTCAGCTTACGAAGAAAAAATATTTCTGTGACTCGTAAGCAAAAGAAACGGGACACACAATGTTACGCCTCCCACCATATGATTGGGTTTTCAATTCTGTAGAGCACATGTGGCGCCAACTAAAATTAAGCATTGAGCCATGTTTTTCTTCTGCTTTACGTGCTAGTGTTGGAGATCTAATAATAAAATGTGTTAATGAGACGCCCAGAATACTTGGAAAATTTTGGTGAACCAGTTTAATATTGTAGAAAATTCTTAAAAATACCTCCAATCATATTGTTTTATAATTAAGTCAGTTGGTATAGATAAATAACAATAAATTAATTTTAAACTTTTACTGACAATATTATTATTTCCTTTCCGTAGTTCGACCCTGCACTATAACTTTTTACGTTGCTCATTTACGGCATGTTTATTGTTGTTAAGCTCATCTCTACACAACCGGTATAGGTAGTTTTATTGCATTCAATAAGCCGAAGCACTATATACAGCAGCGAACTGGATCTAAACTGGAATGCTAACCTCGTGATAGAAAAGTGAGACACATTTTTACAATAGAGAAAGTCGGTTAATATATATTATTACTTGATGATCACAAAATATATTTTTTAAAATAATTGAAAAAAAAAACATTTATAATAATCCAATTTTCTAAAAATCCTATACAATACAAATACAATACAATACAGTACTATACGTAAAAATTCAAATTATTTAAGTTTTTCTGACGACTAAATCAATAGATGGAGAAGAATATTTATTTATTTTACGTGTATAATTAATAACAATTATAATAATAAGTCATAAAATAAAATCCTCGATAAAATCATATCATGGAATATGCAATAGATACACAAATGTTTTACTTACCCAACTTTCTTTTGCGTGATAACTTTAGACAAGATTTTACCATTTTATTTATTTATTTTATTTATTATATTTATTAATTAGCAACAGCAACAGTAGGTGGTATTCCATACACAAGAATGCCACTATCAATAATCAAAATAAATCACAACCACTTCTGGTAAGTTACCCTCAAAAACTCCAAACAATAAAAAAAAATGAAAAATAATATAAAATAATCTCTATTACATTTACCAGCCAAAGAAAAAATAGCCATTACTGTCTCCCTCTGGGGTAAAATTTGCCTCACAAAATCGATACGTTGACTGTATTACAGGAACCATTCCAGTTTAGATCGAGTACGCAAGCTATCAAACAATAGCGCAGTATCCAGGAGTATATCGTGATAATCTAGCCAAAAATGAACGGAAACAGAAAACAGAAATACCACACTGGTGAAATGCACGAATGGATTCTTTCATGTAGAACTTGGAAGTACGCATCTTCTGGATTTCTCCAGCTTCGTGTTTTGACTTGATGACATATACATATATTGCCCTAACTGCTTCGGAGCCCTGTCTGACCCAGTTTCAGCATAGTCAAAAGCCGAAGCGAGAGGAAGTCAGAATGTGTGTATCTTCAGATTATTTTATCTTTTATTAAAATTACCAATTTGCTTTCCTGTTACTTTTTATATTTGTTTTTGCCCCCTCCCATTTAATATATTTTCAAAGTCAATAAACGGTAACAAACTTTAGACAGCGGACGACATTGTTGTTAATTGTTACCTTTATGCGGCATTTTCCACAAAGACTCTGCACAAGATGACTCTCGTAGGGAAAGCGTTTTTGCTGCGGAAATGACTGGGGAAAACCCGCCCGGAGTCGGGACGGGTCCGGATGTGGCTCCCAGGATGGACTTTTACGAAAAACCTGCAACTAAAAATTACAATTAGCCCACGGGACCATTAGTTTAGTTCAATCTGGCGTATACGGGATATATTTTGGAAAAATTAAGGATCCCAGGGGACATTTTTTTCTCGACGAAGTCATTTGAAAACGTTCAGGATTCTTGATTGCCGGCGAATTTTCAGAATCCAAAAACTAAATACCTTTACACAATTTTTTTTTTAAAGTGTTTTCGTTGTCTAATAGAACTACAAATTTTGTTGATAATTATTGTTGGAATAGCGTTTCTTCTTCAAAACATTGTCACATAAAAAAAAATCCTATTTCGATTCGACGAAAAATAACAGTGAAGAAGTGTGTTTGTTAAAGCGGCATTAAATGGGCTGCGAAAGTCGACCGAGTGAGCACGGAACTCGAGTCACTCGAGCCACAATGACGACTAACGAATGTCCTGGATTCCGGAGTTATAACTCGTCTACAAAATTGACTGCTACCTAGATCCGGCAGTCTTGTGTGTCGGCATTGATGGCAGATATTTCCCTAGCAAAATGTTAGTAACATTCATGATGCTACTGCTTTATGAATTTTCCGTTTTCCTCAATATACATTAATTTATTACCGACGTAAAGCTTACCTCATAAAAAACTAACTAAAACTATTCTATGTTATTCACCATATTAAGGTGATTTAGTTTATTGTTATTTGCTTTAATTTTTTTTTCACATTTTTAGTTGTCTTCATTTTACATGTTTTGTCTTTTTCTTTCTTTTGCAACAAATTTGCATGAAAATACATACTTTTCGAGTAATTTCTTTTATTCGTCAAATTGCAAACCAGTTTATTCACGAAAATGATTAAAAAGACACTCAAAATATGGTCTTTAGTCTAGTCTGTTATAAAAAATATAATGGCGGCTCGTTGCACTTTTTCCAGAACATCACAGTCACGCAATAGCCATGGGTTCCAGACTGGGGAAGCAAATTCCAGGATGGGGTGAATGTAAGTGGTGAAAAGCCTGCAAGCGATGCGAGGACTAGGATTTTTAAAAGTCTTTTTCAACAAAAATAACGCGCAGTTTGCTTTCTTTGCAATATTTGATACATGTGCAGACCACGCAAGATCGTTAGTTACGGTCACACCTAGGTCCATCTGAGAATCGACACTTGACACAAAGTTTCCATCGATATAATAATTCAAACCGGGATTGTTATTGCCAACATGCACCACAGATCACTTTTGAGCATTCAGGGGCAATAGCCAAGTTGAACATCACTTGGAAATAGTATTCAAGTCTCTCTGCAATACGTCCGCATGTGTTGAAGGATTTCCAAATAATTTAGTGTCATCAGCATAAGCGCTCACATGAGAATCAATGCTGGAGAGCAAATCCACGGTGTACACTACGAATAGCACTGGTCCCAGCACCGATCCCTGGGGAACACCACTAGGCACGTTTTGTGGCAGTGAAAAAGCGTTACCAATTCGAACTCTGAATGACCGATGACTTAAGAACGCCGCTATCCACTCTAGCAGTTTACCCCTCACTCCAACCTTTTCAAGTTTGAATAACAAGCGTCGATGTGGCACTTTGTCGAAGGTAAGTAATATCCACCCGATCCACCCAGTGATTCAAGCATGTCAATGTATTTGATATGACAGACCTGCCGGGAACAAAGCCATGCTGCGATGTAGGTATAATATGGCAGTCGATCAAAAACGGTAGCAGCTGTTTTACTATAAGGCGTTCAAGAACCTTACATATAATACACACTAGGCTGATAGGGCGGTAATTTGAAACATCGAGCTTATCACCCTTTTTATAAATCGGAGTTACATTTGCGGATAACCAGTGGGCTGGGAGTGTGGCAGAGTCCAAAGATTTTCTCAAAATAATATAAATAGGCTCTGCAAGCACAGGTTCACTCACACGCTTTTAAGATTTTACTGGAAATTCCATCAGGTCCGGGAGCAGAATATTCTTTTAACTCAGAAAGAGTTTTCTTCACGTCCTCTTGGTCAAAGTGAATGTCTTCTAATAAATCTGCATTTATGTGACCCTCATAGTGAGACGGTAGATTAGCTGGTTCAACAGCAAAGATACTAGCAAAATATGAAGCAAATTCATTTGAAATGAAGTCCTGGTTATAGGAGACCTCTCCCGAGGTATCTCTAATGACAGGAAGGGATACCTTAGACGATACGCGTTGTCTGACATAAGAATAAAACGCTTTGGGCCGATTGAGGAGGTCATTTTCGAATGCTGACTTCGCCTCTCTAATCTCCAATGATAAACTATTAGAAACTCTTCTGTGCAAAGCATAATCGGAAGCAGAGCCAGAGGCCTTAAATCTATGCCACAGAGCTCTCTTATGTTTTATTTGTTTGAGCAGATGTCCAGTTAACCAAGGTTTCTCAGAATTGAACTTAATAAAATGAGTTTTGGAGCTTGTGCCTATTTAATAATCCAGAGTAGACAGAAAATATATCCACGCATCATTAACGTCAGTATCAGGAAAGTTCCATGTATGGTGGGAAAGGTCTGCAGCTAATCTTGCATAATTTGTTCTGCATAACAGTTTGCGATTATTGACCTGCTTGGGATAACATAAGGCTTGAATGCAAAACTCAATAACGACATGATCAGATTTTCCAATTTTCCATATATTTCTATATTAAATTATAAATTGAAAAAAAAAACTAACTGAATATTAGACAAATTGTACAGATACAGATTAGATATATTTAAAATTTAAAGAAATAAAAATTATTTAAATGAATGAATTGAATTTATTGAAGTTTAACTAACTAACTAAACTAACCAAAGCTATGATAAAATTTTCGCTTCACTTAATTTCACTTTACTTTCAATTTGGATGAATATTTGCATTTCTTGAGTATGACTTTTTACCAAAGCTTCTTCTAGAGAACACTTAACTGGTGAACGTGAACGTGAAGCAGAGAGTTTCAAATATGGCAAATGACAATTGTTTCTAATTTTCTATTACAAGCAATTTTTTTTTGTCATTTACTCTTTTCGCCAAGGCAATGGATGGATAATATTAAATTCCAACATTCTTTCAAATTAAGGTTCTTTATAATATTGTTTGATTGTTTGTGGAAATCACGTGATAAATGAAACAAAGAGTTCGAAATTTATTGACAATCTCTGGCACAAAAAATTTAACTTATTAAACGGCGTTTGCGTGCAATTACCACCGGCAACCGCCGATATATGCAACCCGCTTAATTTATTTTATTTAGAATTACATTTCTATTATAAAATGTAAGCTTAAAAATTGCGTATTTTATTTGTTAATTTTACTGAAATAATGAACTTGATTAACAACACCAAAACTATCAAACAATTCAGAGCCCATCATTCTTTAAGGCACATTGACTTTAACTTTAATTAATTAACTTTGTAATTAATATATGTCACTAGGGTCTACTGAGTTAACATAATTTAATTATAATCGGTAAAGCGCTTGATTTGAATATTATTTTTGAGGTAACCTACACAAGCATCGTAAAAATTCAACTTATATTTATACACAATTATTTCTGGGAGCTGTTGATAGCTCAATTCACTTAAAAAAAAAAAGTGATGCAAAGCTTCCAATACTTTAGTGGGATGACAAATCCAAACACGTGTACATATATGGATACATGTTTGTCTTTGTTAACCGTTTTACTAAGCTACTATAAGCTTACTACTAGCTGCCAAAAACCCTAAAGTTAAATAATAGCCGTGCCGGACGTTCATTCCCACAAATTCCACACATCACGCAATCAATCAATCATCGGAATCAATTTATCGGAATTGATTACTTTGTCAAACATAGATATCAATTTTTTTCCTACTCGCGCGGCCTCGCTACCTTCCCGTGCGGAAGTGGGGTTCTACAGGGCTCGACGTTCGGGCGAAAACCTCGAGAGCAACGACAACGTAACGAGGAGGAGGAAACAGGAAAAAAAAGTCGCCGCGCGCGCGGTGATATATGAACATGAGTAGCCAAGACTTATGACAAGCCGTTTCCATTGTTCACCGCGGGCGGTCGGTAACCACCGTAACTAAATGAAGACAAATTTTCATTGTTGCTTTCCTCCTTTTGTGCGCGACCCGTAGGCCGCTGATTGCGTCTGATTGAGTTTGGACAACTGAATTAAAAACAATCGTCGGCCACAGCGTTCACCGATACATACCCGGGGTCTCTCCGCGATAGGAAGATTTCGATTTTATCGACGGATAATTGATAGTCTATTTGGAAGGGCGGCTCGTTCGAAATTTGGTCGCGTTCGATCTGATCGCGGATAGTACCGAGAAAATGCAAATTTTCTAAGGGGTGCGGAGGGAGAGGACCAGTTGGTTTTTCTTAAACATTTGTAAAGGTCGAATCTTCTATACATCTTGAACAATATTTTCAAGTACGGTTTTTATAATTTGTAACATCAGAATTATAGTAACTTTAAGTTACCATAAAATATTTTAAAGGCAAATCCGAAGGAGTAAAAGGTATAAGTGAAAACAAAATGTTTATTTGCCATCAGAAATCTGGATTATAAATAAAATATTTTTTAAATGTATTTATTACCTTTTTGGACAAAATTTTGCCGCAGAGTCCACACATTTTCATCAACAACACATCTTCTGTTGACTCTTCGTTTTTCATTTTTTTAAATTACTATCAAAAAAGTCATTTTATTCGTAAGGCATGAATAATTTTTAATATAAGTTACTCGGAATTGCACAAAAATCTATATAAAATTGAGAACAGTATATAAGACATGTACAAAACACGAGACAAAACAGATGCTTGGGAGATCTTGAAAATGACTCTCACCCACTTGGAATTATCGTACCAAATTTTTTCCATCAATTTCAATTATTTTGACTTTTCTAAAATAATTCTATAGTTGTAGCATCGAAGAAAAATAATATTCATATAATTATAGCAGTGAGCCGTAATTCATAATTATTAAGGTATGATTGAAACGTGAGAACCGATTTCCTGTGAGAACCTAAATAATAC